AAAGCGTAACTTATGTAAATAGTGTATATTCATTGTAAAAGCGTGAGTTGTATTCTGTCTGTCGTGTAAAATAAAGCTATAAGAAACTTATGTGCTCAAATTGAATATAATAAAGAATGGCAACCGCCACAAACCCAACAATGTTAAACTTGGTTTTACCCTTCCAAAGACTCTGCTGTGCGACGATTGGAGCGAGTTTATGAGGAATATTTTATACAGTGATTCAAAGAAATGTTTTTGCATATACTGTATATGTTATTGATCTATTGTTAAATGTCACTTATATTATAAAGTGCCAATGGTTGGAATATTTATTCATTGATATTTTAAACACAGATGAAGTGTTATATTCCTTGCAGCCAAATGTTGTTGAAGCTGGCAAGCTGCAAAACTGACATATGAGTGATATGACCCAAATATTGGATATGCATCTTAGTTTGCTTCCAGTAAAATGTAAACAAGACCTTAAGAATTCTATACGAGATAAGAAATATTACGTTTAAAATCATGACTGGCAAATTAGCATGTGCGAATTGATGCTTCCTAATAATAGTATGTACTCCAGTAAAGCTTGCTTGCTTCAATTCTTGCTGTTACCATCTGCACATTATCAGTGTGGAGAGTTGATTTGAATTTTTTGTCCCAGGGGATAAAGGTAGGGAATAGATTTTCCATCACAAAAGGATGTACTTTAAGTGACCATTATACCCTAGGGTGGGATGGGAGATTCTTATGTCAAAATGTCATGGAACCTCTTTTTAATCTCTTAATTTAATAATGGAGACCCCTCCTAAATATTTAAGACTATATAACATGATGAAATTCTAATCTTCATTCATGTGAATGCCTGACTATGAAGAAAATACATTTTGCAACACAGGGATGGATCCAGCATGATCTGGTAGGGGGGGGGGGGTGCTCTGCCAGCTCTGGTGCCGAGTTGTGTTGGTCATGTGTGCCGCCCGCCCATCAACTTGCTTCACTACTGCAAAGTCTTGCTTTACTACTGTATTTGAATTGTAATTGTTGTTCACAGCTCGCTTATCATCATGTTATTACTCAAATTACTGTATCTCATTTTGCCTGTAATAATTTTTTGCTTTATCATGAAAAATAGAACCCCCCTGCACCCCCTCTGGCCAGGGCTAGGGGAGTGCACAGCCCCCCCCCCCAGTAAATCCATCCCTGTTGCAACATACACTACAAGAGCTAGAATGATTGCTTCCTTTGGATGATTTGTCTTAGAATTATATTACCTATATTACAACAATTCTTCCTATTCTGAAACCAGTTGCTATTCTGTTTTTACAACACTCACCCCCCCCCAAAAAAAAAAAGACTCAACAAATCAAGGACCCCCTCCAAGGCAATTTTGCCAGCAAAATAGATTAAATTTGATGGTAATTGTTCTGAGAATATATTAACTCATTGAGTGGCAGCATTCTGCCTAGACTTGCCACAAGTCGACCTCAAACGAAACGCAAGCAGCGAGTGTGAGCCAACGTTTCGTTCGAGGTCGACTTGTGGCAAGTCTACATTCTGCCCTTGAGTAAAATTGTCTGGCACCAGACGGAGTAATATACTAAAGTAGGGACATTGCCACTATAAAGGGTTAAACAAATTTTAAAAAAATTTGCAATGGTCTATATTCAAAAAGCTCAATTTGTAAATTTTAATTGACTTTAATTAAATTAATATAACTACTTATACTTATAGCTACCTTGCCCCAGTCACTTCAAGTGAATTCTACGGGAGGAGGGGGACATTGAAAATCCCTGGGTTTACTTGGTAAAAGCAAGAATTGAACCATGCATTACATGTATATGGAGAGCAGTTTTAAATATATTTTATCATGCAAATACCTTGATAATTGTTCTTAAATGTCTTTGGCTTAGAATGGGTACACCCTCCAAAGGTGTTTATTTACAGGGTCCAAAGGTGTAAATATACACTGTCCAAGGTGTTAATATATAAACAACAAAAACAATGTATATAATTAAATTTTATTAAATAAAATGTGGAATATTTTACAAATTGCATTACCATCCCAAAGTGTACATAATTTATCAATATAATTAGGACTTAGAAGCTGGTCACATGAGTTTGACTCTGACCCAGCACCCTTGGCTTAGCTCCCCTTGCCCGATCACAAGTAGAAAACCTCCAACCCCCTCTGACAAATCAGTCCAGATCTGCCAAAGAGGCAGGATTTTCTGGAATATTATTAGCAGTGAAATTGTTGCACATTTTCAAGCATGCATTGTAACCTGATTTTAAAGCCTGTTTGAACATCAGACATTGTGGCAATGGCAAGATGGTTCAGCCACATAAATACAATCTTAAAATATCATAAAAACAATGCAATTTAAGGCCAGACAGCCCAACTCCTGCGAACAGCCCTTTATTACACATTTGAAGCATCTCTTGAGGCATCAAAGTACTGTACATACATGCACATGGAATTACATACGAGTATGTGACATAAGCCCACCATTGCACAACTTTGTCTGCAACAATGCAAATACAACAAATGCAAAACAATCAAGCTGGAAACGGATTTTATCAGTATTTTGATATATACATTATGGCTCATGTCTAAAGACACCTGCACTTTCATATTGAAATTGTTCTAATATCATCAAAACAAAACACATCAGAAAACTGTAACATCAGCCAAATGAGCAAATCACTTTTTTAACACAATTTATGGTAAAATGAAGCAACATGTAATAGTATCTGAAACAAAACCAAATCACATATTATTCAAAGTTGTAAACACTGTTGCATATATGATATAACAAAATATCGTCGCATTTCTAGTGGTAACTAACTATAAATTAGGCCAATTTAAACTCGACTATGAAGAATATAAAAAACTAAAGGTCATGTTTCAGTTTATAAACCCAGACTTTAGTTTTATAAATATAAACATTATAAACGCTATACGAAGCCAAATATGAAGGCACATTTTGCCCTAAATACTCGGTCAGAGCCTCAGAGCCGTCAGAGGTGTGTTCTAGTACACAATTAATCTTCTCTCACAGTTTAAAACAAACAATAATACTAACCTTCGACAAATTGTGTATAAATCTTATCGAATTTAACCATTTTGCCACAGATTTTGCCAAAAATATTTCTCAGACGGACAAAGTATTAATGATGGACACTCCTTGCATCAAATGTTAATTTATCCCAAAGTTTGAATAAATTAATCCAAGATTGCATTATTTGCATAATAATGTACTTGTCATTGACCAATCAGAATACATAGAAGACCGGCGGGTGCCAGGGCCTTTTCCCGCCTTCCCAATGACAAAAAGGGAAAAGCCCTGGGGACGACGTTGAGTATATTATACAATGATACACGAAACTTTATATGGTATATGGACAACCAAGTCCCAAATACCGTATAAGTTTTATCAGTTTTATGCAGCTAAATAATGTCTTCAACACTTTCAGCTTCGTGATGTATTTGCCAGTAATTAACGCATCAATTAATGGAAGAGTCGACAATGCAATGTCATTGAGAGAAACCGGATGCTTTAAACTCATTACTGCCATGCACCGTTTGCAGCTTTTTCGTGCGTTCTACGACCTGTTTGTCTTAACAGCAAGAGCTGTATTAGCATACATTTCTTGCACGTTGTCGGGCAGTTTTTAGTTCTTCACAATGTATATATATATATATATATATATATATATATATATATATATATATATATATATATATATATATATATATATATATATATACCGGGTGTCTCAAAAAAAGGTATCGGTGTTTGATTTAATATAATGTAAAAATAGGTACGCGACGCGTACATGTATCTGCGAAAAAACTTGATTCACATTTTGTATTTTCTTGAAAGAAACTGAATAATGAAGATGACATGGGACAATTGAAATATTTCATCACTTATTATAATAGCAGATAAGATTTAAAACAGGGCTGTACACAGCGGGGAGTGCAGCAGGGCAAGTGCTACCCCACCCCCCACCCCGAGAAAATTTAACTAACTTTATAATGTGATTATGATTGTAACAGATAATTATGCAGTCAGGAAATAAAAATTTCATGCAAACAATATTCAAAGTGTCTATACAGCCAGCTATTTAGTAAACTGTCACCTGTCAATTCAATCCATACTCATCAAATTTTCAAAACTTTATTGTGATCATATGAAGCAAAAGTTCTGTCACTTGTTGTTTACACTTGCCAATATTAACTGTTGAGTAACATACACACTATTCAAGGAACATGCATTACTGTAGCAAAGAGTCAATCATATATCGAAGACCATGCACTGAATAGTAGAGAATGTTTTGAAGGTCATGAGTGAAGTATATAATTCGATTGCAACCCTGTGCACAGTAAAGATATACCACACTGTTCGGTTTAACTCAGCATATCCACACAAAAACAATTTGTGTTGTGGGAGAATATCTGTTTGAGTAGAAGGTATCACAAGTTTAGTTTTGAACATTGTGTGCCATTGATCTGATCCATCCATATAATATATGATTATTGTAGCTGTTAAGTTATTTTCCATACTGATGAATTTAGGTAAGATTGTCTTGCAAGTGGATTGTTCTGACAAAATAATCCAGCCAATATCCAGTAGATCAGCACATGTATTCATCATTCTTGTATTAATCTCTAAACAAAAACATTTATGTTAGAAAGCAAAATGACAATGTAATGAGGAGGGAGGGTAGGGATTCTTTTATTAGCATTTGAAAATGGTTGTAACAATTTTGTTTAATTAACTCTTTTGTGTAAAACCAAAATGTATAAGTATAATTTTAACTGATGACATCTTTACCTTTGCTCTAACACTACATTTGTTGACAACTTAGTTGGACTGTTGTTTTGAACAGAGTTACAGAAATACAGGACCAGGATTTAATTCAATATCTCCTGAGAACGAACATTAGTTTCTTGTGATATTGTTAATTGGCAATATAATGCCTGCAGCCAGAGTTTTGACTGTTTAAAATATTACACAATGATTGTTTTTATACTGTATAAAATAATAAATGTATATAATAAAATATGTGGTATTTGACTACTTACCAAATGAGGATACCGTATTTACTCGTTTGAGTGCCGCGGCGCTCTTCAAATTTTCAGAGCTTCAGATGCGGCGCTCATTCGGGGGTGGCGCTCTTTAAAAAATATTTTATTTGTGAATTATAACAAGAACTTTTAACAATGAAATAAACAAGTATTAAATGTCTTTGTCACTAAATGTCTCCATTTTGACGGTGGAAAGTTTTTACAATGTTTAGTACGGCGCTTATTCGGGGGCGGCACTCAATCGAGTAAATACGGTAAGTTTCCATGTTGATAGAAAACTTTGGAATAATATCACAAGTAGAATGGTGAAAACAAGACAGCCAATTCAAGATAAAATCATGATATTTTTGAAGCTAAAATATGGCAAAGAATAACACGACTTATACGAGGCCAAACTACGCCTGTTCGCAGGTTAGGTGCGAGCACGATGTAAACAATTGATGTAAGCTAATCGCTGATTGCCTTAATTATATAAGCTCGTCGCTGAATGGCTATGGATATAAACGTTAATACTTACACCGGCACTGTATTGACATATGTTCATACCTGCAAGATTTTTTCATTATAAAAGTGTATTTTCCCAATTTAGATTGGGTGGGTGGGTCATGAAATAAATTTGGTAAGATTGGATGGGCTTTGAAATTTTTATCTACATCCTAAGATGGGTCACCAAACTTATTGGCAAAATTTATTTCAGATCTTTACCTCCAGCCCACCCTAGCAGTTACTTTATGACCAGTCCCTTAAGTGCTTTAAGCTTAGCATTTGTTTTTAATTAATTAACGGCATATTGCGAGGGAATCGGGTTAAAATATTATATTATAAATTTCGCTTTAAATCATCTGCTGGATGGCACAATAAAGTCGTATTTAGACACATATAATGACATTTGTGTAACAGATCTTTCTAAAATTTAAAACAATTTCAGCTGGGGCCGGTTGTATAAAACATTTAATCATTATTTTAATCACTATTTTGTAGTTATAAATAGTGATTAACTCTCAAATAGGTGCTTCTTATTGGATGACGTTTCCACTTATAACTATAGTTAACTTTAATCACTTTTTATAGTACAACCGGACCCAGATCTCTATCTTGAGGGTCTCCCACGGGAGTTCTAGGGATTAAGGGAACAAGATTTGGGCATCTCAGTCGCTTGAACTAATGTTTAACAAGAGAACAAGACAGGTTTTGCAATGGCAACACTGGACCAAAGCGGAAAAATCATAGGGAACAAGGGAATATCTAAGCTTGGGGAACAATGGAACATGGTGAACTTTTTGGGGGAACTGAAAAGAAAAAAAATCCAATGGAACACAGGAACACAGACTCCCGCCCTGGGAGACCCTCTATCTTGTGCTTAAGACTTTATAACACAAAAGAAAGTCCGAAAATAAAAATCATGAGAAATTGTCTATATACTGTAGACTTGTAATATGTTGAATTGATCTTAATTTTTAGTGCGAGTTTAACTCAAAGAGGAAAAGGAAAAAAGGTTTACTAATTTTTTCTAAAATGAATGTTGAGCTTAGTGAAACACTATTTTGACACAAAACACTTTTTGACTTTGTGGGGGATAAAGTGGAAAAGACAGAATTTAAATATCGATTGCCTACGGGATTGTCTCCGCATTCCGTCTTTCCACTTTACCGATAAAATTTAGCTTTGTTTGGTGTTTAATCAAGGGAGCACAGCAGTATTGTTTTCGAGACTTTCGTACCTGTATATGGCTGTAAAATCTCTGAATAGGTAGTCTTTGTCTTCTTTGGTTCGCTAATTTGCATATAAACACTAAAACACTGTTTTTAAATTCGTAAACAAGCCAACAATTTCTTTATATTTTCGTATTTTTACATGGTTGTCCGCTGTACATTGTATCGCATGTAACGGTTTTGTAGATACGCGCGAAACTTACAATAAGAAATAGAGGGGAGTGGAACTGTGGGCACGTGATCAATATTAACCAATAACATTTCGGGATTTGAGAACCGCTTTCTCCAAGGTTTGTAGCAAAACCATTAAACCAAATGCTTACAATCAGATTAGAGTCGACTGTACAAGCCTACCAAAAACTGATTTGTTCACAATTCGTAAACATTTCAACTCTGATTTCTTTTTAAATGTATTATATCATGCTTCTACTTCGAGAATATTGCACATGTTTGAGAGTGGTAATAATATAAATTTTGTCATTATTTATCAAACTGTGAATTGCGTATAACGTATAACGTATTAAACACCGAAATATTTCCGTTTTAGTTTATTGTATGCTGGTTTTATATGGATAATTTCACATTAGAATATTTGAAAATGGCTTTAATGTTATAAAATAACACAAAATATAA